TCAAGGTCAATCAGTAAAAAAAGTATATTAATCTCAATAACTTTAAAAAGTTAGTCCCACTCAAAATTCAACAACTTTATGATTGATGACATTTTGTTGAAAAATTAAGTAATATCAAGTTAACCCTAAAAATCTTTATCCAAGTTTCATACAATTAGCTTACAAAAAAAAACGTTTCACAATATGTCTACGTTTATATTGTAATTAAAACATTCGTTTTTTGTGATGTGTTTATAAATAGCATGTAACAGTAACAATTTTTATTAAACATCACTCATCAATTTTAAATGTCAAAAAATGTATGCAAACATTGATAATTAGGAACTCTCTAATAGCAACAATTCAAATTCAAAAACTAACCACCAGCATTTTCTAAACATCAAATATTACATTTGTATCACATAACATATACAAAAAAAATCAGTCACTTAAAGCTAACATACTGCTTTGACTGTACTAATGTCTTCTATTAATATTAATATAGCTTTACAATATTCCTGGCCAACGTAATATTATAAAGCCATTACACATACACATGACTGCCTGTGAACATAATTTATGGAGAAATTATATGATTTAGAGCTTGACATCAACAATAATGCAAAATATAAACAAATACAGAAACAGCATCACAGTATATAGAAATACAGAAAAAATGGTTAAGTTCACTGACAGGAAAAGAAAAATATGAGGCCAAAGTTGCAGACAAATAGCTTTGACCAATATCATTTAAAATTGTTTTAACAGATATATACCAAGATTCAAATTAAGAGAAACAGAAGTATAGACAATACTCGAAATAATTATGGAAACACATGGGTGAATTACACACACAAGTCATAAACAATGAGTATTTAAATTTTAAATCTATTGCAGTAGACAATATCAAAATGCTGCTACAACGAGGGTCAAAACAATTTATTAGACTTTAACAAGAACAGAAATCTATAATAAAACTTCCAAACAATAGGAATACAAATTTTATTACTTAAAAATCCAAAACAATAAACCCATGTCTGGTGAGAACTTTATAAAAATGTTAATAAACAATACAACATAAATATCAATGTTATTAATTTTAATAAATAAAAAATTAGAAAAAAGAATCAGAAGAAGAAAAAACACAATATTCCAAAATTAAACCACCTCTCAAGATCAATAACAATATCGAGCAACAATCAATAACAATGAGTTCTAACTATATCTTGTGAACTAACTAGTTTAAGAATCAAATGTTTTATTTAGTGGTCAGACCATGAGGTTACATCACACGTGACCAGCTAATTTACATAATCTTTTACAAGTTTAACATCTCTACGTCACCATTAGGGGAAGCTTGTGTCAGTTTCATAACAAAACATACTCAAGTTCAATGTGCTCTAGCTAGAAGGTGAGTTAGCACTTTCATGCAACTAAAACTTCATAATAGAACTGTGCATTATAAGGAATTATAAATGAATGATAAACAAAACCATACAATAAAAGTAGAATTTGCTATCTTACACTATAATTAATACAGTTCACAATCATAGAAAAGAAAAGCAAATATGTGTAGGTTATAACATTTACCTAAGTACAGTAGTACATCTCTAATTGCATTATTCTGGTGCCACCTGACATTGTCTTGACTCGCAAGGAAGAGCTGCAGATCAACAGTGAGAGACAACATTGCTGATAAAAGGTCTTCATAACAAGGACTTGATAAAAGCTAAAAAAAAAAACAGAAAAACTTTAATTTAAATTGTGAGAAAGTAATTTGGAATGCAATTTGAAACAATCTTTGCTTTACAGCTATAAACCATACTAAAATATTAATAATAGTGAATATAGTAATAAAGAACCTGTATTCAATAAGACTACTAAAAAATAAATATGAAGGAAACAGACTTTGGGTAGAACAACTTTCATATTTAATAAGTTATTGAAATCAAGAATAAAAAAAAATCCAAAATAACAATACAATAAAGAATTCGAGAACTATTTGACTTAATTATATGTATCTCGTATTGTTCAAACTGAAAACATTTTTTTAGTTAAAGATCAGACAACTTATTTTTTATTAAAATTCTTAAATATAACAACCAACCTTCTTCAAAGCAGAGTTTTTGACATGAAAGTGCAGGAAGAAACTTGTCATTATTTCATACAACTTCTCTGATCTATAAAACATCAGAAAGTCACTTAGTAATATAACACATCATCAAACTCTGTCATGACAACACAAATTAGCAATTAAAAGCATATAAACAATTGACTTTATTCCAGAAATTAGCTTCAAAAAATTTTATTTTATGACTCAAAAATTTAACTATTAAAATTACACCAAATGATGCATATATTAAAGCTAAAAATCCAAAATAAATTTGCTTTGTAATTTGAGGAATTATATGGTGGTGGCAAAAGCAAGGATTTGTAAAAATCTCATGATTAAAAAAAAAGTGAAGATTTTGTGTTTTTTGCATTTGTATGAAAACAAAAGCAAAAAATACAAACATAAAACTGCATTAAACCTTTCACTAATAATAATCTAGCGAGTTTATTCAATCATATTCTAATTCTTCATTACCGACAAACTGTATCTAAATGAAAGAAGATCCGCTGAAGAGAAAGTGAGAAACCAAGGTATAAAATCATATTCTTGCTAGTACTGAAGTTTTTTAAAGGAGAAATATGAAGCTAATAGCCATAAAACCAGTAAAATAATTCAATGACTAAAATCAACAAGAAACTTCCTTTAAGTAAATTTTCTAGTTATTAGCTCAATTCTATACACATTGACATAAGATAACATGTTCCATTCTCACAGAGATTCAGATAAAAAATAACAAATTATCTCAAAATTGAAGCACAAGACTATAAAAATTATTCACAGAATGTTTTTGGCTTTGGTTTTTCATCATAAAATGTCTGAGTAAGATATACAGTGAGAATGAATATATTATATTAATATGATTTTGGAGCACATTATGTCATTGCAATACGTCTACACATCCAGTCATATTCCATCTAATGACCATATATGTTAACAATAGCCTTGTAGCATAGTTTCCATTGCAAAACACTCCACTGTAAGGCTGTTGGGATAATAAAAATACACTACTCCTCCCTCCAAGCTTTCTGAAATCCATCTTGATTCCAAGAATGATGGCTTCCCAGTTCCCATTTCAGCAGTTTGTTTGTTTGTTGAATTTTACACAAACTACTCAAGGGCTATCTGTGCTAGCTATCCCTACTTTAGAAGTGATAGACTTGAGGGAAGGCAGCAAGTCAACACTACCCACTGCCAACTGTTGGACCACTCTTTACCAACAAATGTTGAAAAGTAGTTCTAATTTTATATTGGCTTTGACTTTCACATGACTTTCTGATTTGCATATTAAAAATCATTTAAAATAATGTAATCAAACCTCTGTATAGGCATGCATTGAATTGTGTGTTTGTACATTATTACTGTACAGAAAACATTGTTGTGGTAAGTTATGAATATATATTCTAGCTGTTTATTGGATGTTAATGGAACTTTACCTTTTCACTTGACGCAACTGGATACACCTATCAGCTTCAACACTGGCCTTTCTAAAATAATAACACACAAGATACAAATAACAAAATAAACTTTAAAATACGTTGTGAAGACTTCAAAAAATTGTTTAAAGAATTAAATGTTGACCAATAGCTCTAGTTGTAATCTGTCCAAGATGGTCTAGTAGGTTCAAACACATGCAGAACAAAAACTTGCAATTAAAAAAATATATATTAAATTAGCTTGTTTATTAAACCCATGCTTTAGCCTTGTATATTTCTGCAGTTTCAGAGATATAAAGTGAGTAGAAAGTAAATAAAATAAACTATTACAGATAGAACTAGTGGAATCACAGAAAATTTTCATAACAGGTTCAATTCTATTTACACAGGCTTACACAGTAATTGGTGGTCAGTTATTTTAATGCTTCTGCAATACCATCAGCTAAGTGAATATTAAGCTTCAAGAAACATTTTTAATAAAATAATGCATTTGTGATTAAAAACAATACTGAATATAAAAAAAATGACTTTTGCCAGTGGTGTAACAACTTCCTTAAACTCAGAGCATTCTATTTATCACACATTACAGATCAAAATATCTGAGGTTTCAAGCACAATTAAATAAGTTAACATTAAGGTGCTTTAAATTGCAAAAAAAACTCATAATAACCAAGTTGGAAGGAAAGTACTATTACTACTAATAACATCATAGATTTTAATTTAGATAATCATAAAACTGGGTGCTACTATAGCATGCAATCTACAAAAATATTGTCAGAATATAAAATACAATCTTTTTGTCAAAATAAAAAGTTTTTACATGTATTTCTTAATAGTATAAATGTATACTGTATTGTTGTTGGGCTTAGGATTCTGCGACTTGTTAGCGATAAATTCAACAATAAAGAAACAGCTCACACTTCACTTGTTTTCAAAATAATATATATATATATGTATGTATGTATGTATGTTATTTTGAAAACAGATGAAGTGCGAGCTGTTTCTTTATTGTTCAATTTATATATATTCGGAACAAGTTACATGTATTTACAACAAAGTCTTCACACTATACCTATTACAGGCATATCATAAACATTATATATGTAGTTTTCTTCTTGTCAAAAAGTCTACTTAGGCCTATTCAATTACTTTAGAATTGCAGTTGACATGCCAAACTATCTTCTCTATTACTATCGCACTAGTATTCTATGTGTGATTCACTTACAACTGTTGTACGAGCGACCGTAATCGTTTGGTCTTCTTTCCTCGAAATATCCCCTGTTCCTTTTGTCAAAGTGCACTTGGGCTGATTCAATTATTTAGAACCATGCTTTGACGGAATAAATTATTATTCTTAGCTCCTTTTCTACTGTTAGTCTTACTCTAACATATTAAATGTTATGCCTGTGTCAATCATTAGGCCTATCACTACTTTGGTAGTTAACTTCATGCCAAACTATTCCTTGGCCTGTAACTTTACACTTTTTTGCTATTTTCTGTCTGCTGTTTTTGCTCGTTTCACACAATTTATATCTTTATCACTTAATCGTCTTCCCCCTTCTATATTCTCGATGTCATTGTATTGCACGAAACGTTCGAAAGACTCTAAATCAATGAATTATTAACAAAACTTCCAACAATTGTCTGCCTTTAACTGAACAATAATAAAATATTCACTCACAAAAATAAATTAATCACTAATATCTAAACTAAACAGTCTTTTATACCATAGCATAAAGTCCACACTGTTTGAATGATTCATTAAAACATAATTTCTTGCCAAATCATTTATATATATATATATATCCACATTTTTGTTCAGCAAATAATATTAATTTAATAAGTTGCGTGTTCCAATAAAGTACCTTAAATCTAGGTTATAATTGTGCTAGTTTTGATTGTTGGAATTTATTTCATTCCGATTATATTTGCCCCCAAAACTTTATGTAATGGTATTTTGTACTTTATCAGCTTAAAAGCATTATTTATAATAACTGGCACCAATTGTAAATAAACAAAAATTAAAACAGTGATGATGATAGTATCTGTGTAGATGACACGCTATAGTGTAAATATCTTTGTAGACTGCACGCTATAGTAGAACCCACAGATTTCGATGACTTCAAAAATACACGTTTATTACAAGGAACACAAAAAATGGAAATTTCTCATTATGAAAGAATTTGATTTATATTTTCAAGCCTCTGTTAATGCTGACATACTCATCTGACCTTCCCATTCATGTATAAAGCTAAAAAAACTGAAAATGGTGTCTTACATAAGGCTAAATGTGGAAAACAATTTTTAACCTCAAAATGATATAGAATACCAGGAACTTACTGAAGAAGTTTAAGTAAGGCTGTATGTAGATCCACAGGAACAGAATTCCCAAGACATTTTAGAGCTAACTCCTCCACTTCTTTCCACCAAGGATCATTCTTCTTTTTCTCCATTTCATTTGTATCCATGATAAACTTATTAATGAAATAAGAAATTCACATGACAAACCATTGCCAATCTGCAGACCAATGGTTTAGAAACTGTGTACTAAATCAATGATGGTGCCTACACATATGATTTTTCAATGGTTGTTTGAAATATTTTCATACTTGCAAACAAATAAAAAAAAGATCCACCTCAGTTTAATATACCATAACCTAGACCTTGCATCTTTATAAATAATTGGGTTATTTCACTCAGTACTACACACAAAACAATGCATGCAGTTCAAAATCAAACACTGACCGCAGGTACAAACTCTCCTTGCACCCTTCACTAAAGCTACACAGTCAGTGCTATTTGTTGAGTAGATTTGATCAATAAATTAGTATGTTGCTCTTCAAAAATTGGTATGTAAAAGAAAAAAAAACAAACTTGGCAGCAGGGTTTGCCAGCCAATTGCACAAATAGTCTATTATGCAGCTTTTGTACTTAACAACAAGCACAAAGCAATATTTAAATTTCTTGGAAGTTAGTTAAATTAAAAATAGTAATAATAATCAGAAATCTTAATTTAGATTAGTTGATTTTTTCCTGACAATTAATTTAGTCATAACTTTGATTAATCAACTTAAATGTAATTTCAATTAATACATTACATGACACTAATCAATCTAATCACTGCTCATAGGTTAGGTAGTCAATTAAAATGCCCAACTCTACTCTTAACAGTAAAATAAATTAATGCAGCATGTAGGACAAGTCAAAAACAGTTATCTTAACCCTTCTGGAGCCAGTGGGCAGCTCTGCGAGGATCAAGAGAACATCGGATTTTGCAGTAATTCTAATGCTATTCCAAAAACAACTTTTAAAAATATCTAAGCGGGTTGGACAGTAAATAACAGATCTCAGCCTTCAAACAAGATAGAATCAATGGATAAACATGGATGGATGGAAAACATTCTTGTCTGTATACTTATAAAGTGAATAACACTTGGCTATGCAGTAATGTACAATTTCTTAAAAAAGTGAGTAATGGAAAACAAAGGATTCTACTACAAAGTTTACAAAACTTAGAAACAAGTCATAAACCTAAGTTGTTGTTTTTTACACATTCTTTTGACTGTTTTTGTTCCAAATAGCTTTTTTGTATTATTTGTATTTTAAAACTACAAAATATTCCTACAAGAGAAGATACAAGGCAAGGATATTTAGGACTTACAAGTAAGGTACACTTGTGGTTCTATGATGGCAAAATTTTCGGAAGAAAAAATTTTCTTGTTATTCACGTGTATTAGTAGATATATTATTACTCAACTCATACAAGTACAAGAACTCATTAGTTATTGAAAACAAACTATAATTATTAAAGAAAAATTGAGGTTAACCAAAAATATAGTAAACAAATATTGCCTATATCAGTACAGTCCTAAGATGAAAGTACATAATATTTTTGTACCAGTCAATGCTTTTATTATTCGTCACTGTTTTATGTCAATTTTTCCAACTACATAACTACTTCAACAGGTTAACATAAGTAACATAAATTAATGAAAATAAAACACGTCAGACCTAAACTGGGTATATACAATGGAACTTTTTGATCAATAATATTATTAAAAAAATACAGTTTTATTTTTCTATTTCATATTTTTTAACTAGTTACTTTCTTTTATATGCAAGAGGTTATATGAACAGTTGAGAAAATGAGCTTACCATTATTAGAACAACATACAAAAAACAATTACAGATTTATTGAAAAAATAAACTTATTGGATACATTTATGTGATTTTAAGCATAAAATAAAATATAAAAACTAAAAATAATAGAGTATTTAATATTTTTAAAAACAAGTTTCAAAACAAAACTTCACAACCTACAAGATGACACAAATACTAAACCAAATTAAATAATTTTTTTCCAAACAAACACTATATATTACACAGAAAATTTTTACCAAATGTCATACAATTAGGTTAAACATTTTAAGTGTGAGAACAAAACAAATGGGTGCACATCAACATGCCAGTCCAAATAGGGTTAATGTTGCTCATCATGTTAACACAAATAGAAATCAGTATTCATTAGGAGCTAGAACTTTATAAACAATCCATTAAATAAACTAAAACTACATTGTTATCTTCACATCATTACAATGTGCATAAAGTTAAATGGGTCTTTTTCTCTCTGATCTAATGCTGCCATCAGGTAAGTAACAAGGGAGGTAATAAAAATTGTCCAAGTAATTATAGGCCTATTAGTCTTACATAAGCTGTGGGAAACGTTTTGGAAAATCTGATAGAAGATGCTTTGCAAAGTCATTTAACAAAGTTTAGATCTTTATTAGACAGTCAATATTGTTTCACTAAAGGAAAATCTTGCCTTACAAATCTTTTGACATTCTTTGAAAAGGTTACAGTTGTAGATTCAGTATATCTGGATTTTCAGAAAGCATTTGACAAGGTGCCATGTAAAAGGCTTGTAAAAAACATTATCTCTATAGATGTGAGGGGGAAAAGTTAGCTAATTGGATAGAAGATTGGCTGGATGGAAGAAAACAGAAGGTTGTTATAAATAGTTTAGTCAAATTGGATTAATGTCACAAGTGGGGTACCTCAGGGCTCAGTTTAGGACCTTTGGTCTTTTTTATTTACATCAATAACATAGATGAAGGAATGGTCAATAAAGTACTTATATTTGCTGATGATATTAAGGTCTTGGGTGTTATTAGTTGTGAGGAGGATGTTGCTGCTTTGAATTATAAGTATAATTTGAATGAGAATAACCTTAACAGTGTCATAAAAGAAAGGGATCGTGGTGTAATGGTTGATCAGTCTCTTAACTCTTTCAGCACAGGCTCGGTTTCTGCCATAACTATTTTGTAATTGTTATAATTTTCATGCTATAACTTTCATTAGTAAACATATGTTAACAAAATTTGGTAGATTATCAGTAAACATTGCAACACTTTCATACTCAAAATAAAAATTTTTTTTATTAAGTCTTAAAGTTTGTAAAGCTATGCTTTTTTCATGCTTTTTTTTTCTTTTCACATGTTGTCTATCCAACATGCAAAGTAATTTTCATTTTAAGATTAAAAATATTTTATGCACCAAAAAATTTTCAAATTTCACATGAGAAATCTTTATAATGTCCAGATAGTTATCAAATATTTCTTAAGAAAAAACTTTATATATTATCTGTTATTTTCAGTAATGAATCTCTGTACAGCTTCAGTAGATTTGACGGATCTCATAACCACCATAAAAAATTAGTAAATAAATATAAATTATGCCTCTTTCATTCTAGAATGACAACAGATTATAACACAAAAACCTAAATGTTTAGACTAAATATCTTCAATCTCATAACATTATACATTTATATATATTTATTATTTTTATTAAATTGACCTTTCAGCCAGGCCTAGCTAACAATACAGAAGTTACAATGATGCAGCACTCATGTTAGGATATCCAATAATATAAAACTGACCTTCAGTCTTTACAAAGTGCTATATTATGAGAATAATGTCAGATGAGAAGACAAGTTTAAGATTTGAAAAAGACAGGCTAGGCACCAGTTAAGTGTTAAGACAGTTGTATTTTTTTTCAACAGGGTGATTGACTTACACTTACAGAATAAATTAGCATTAGTAGTAATAAAAGCCTGTACTTTACAAATTACACTTACAGGAGTTTAATAGAGGAATCAATGATTTCATGAAAAATTAGTGGTAGTTTTTCTTTTCTCAAGGGTGGGTATGCAAAGAGAGCCTTGAAAAACCAAATATAGTCCCTTATTGAAGATATCGTAAATTGTAAGACATGTTTGTTACATAAATGTGATAGATTAAAATTTTGATACTACCATCAACGTTATATTAATAATATTAGTATTACTACCAATCAATCACTATTGATTATCACAAATATTGTGATACTATATCAATTTTGTTTGTTTGTTTTGTAGATTTTATTACACTAAGCCTAACATTGACCAGTATTAGTAAGTACTAGTAGTGATGTACTACTAATCATTACAAAATTATATGTAACATACGTCATCATAACTTAGATTATAACTTACAATTACATTGATGATCATTATATTATAGCTATTACATGATTAATACATTTACGAATGATTGCCTTAAAAGTTAAAGTGAAGTTCAACACGCCAAATCCAGCCATATTTACCCTAGAACTAAGTAATTCAGACTTGCACTGGTTGTACGGTGTCACTACGCTACACTGCATGCATGTTAGTGTTACCGCTGTATCTACAGAGTACAGTACAAAATTTTAAAGTTGGATTCTAACTCATTTGTTTACTGGTCCTGGCAAACCCCTATAAATTAATGCTTACTACTCTTGCTTTGAAGTTTGATATTAATTATAATAATACAAAATAAATACTCTAAAATGTATTTAATAACATTTCATAAACAGTTTTAGTGTAAATGCTAATCACATAATACAAAACGCTGATAACCGAATACCTTATATCCACCACGTGTTGCCTTACACTGACTACCACGATTCTACTAAACGTAGAAAGAGAATCAATCATTTAATTCATTTAAAATATGATTTTCTCATTGAACTAAAGTAGCAAATGTACACGTTTAAAAAGTTGCGGAAATGTACAGTTAATAATATTCTTAAAGCTACCCTTTCACAAAAAGATTAAATTTAAAATAACATTGCTAAATAACTTACATAATTCAATTGCATCTTTAATTAGTATAAAATAAATAACCTGTATTTAAGATTGATGTAACTGATTGTTTTGACTTAAACATCTTTTTAAAGCTGGAGAAAATAAATTATAATTAATTTACTTGTCATTATACATTAGTATTAGGCCTATTATATTTTTAATACTGCATTCTATATCTAGTCCCTTGGGGGGTTTCAAGTATTATAAAAAATGTATTATAACAGTATTCCAACCACACTATGTTCGCTGTATCCATTGTCAACGATGCGTTTCGCTCAATCTAGAGCTCATCTGGCCGGCTGGGACACGACAAATGCAATAGTGGTGGAACATTATTCAAATAAGCCATTTGCTAGACAATAACAATTGTTGTTGTAGCAAATGGCTTATATGAATAATGTTAAACCACTTATTTAAATAGCAATGTGAATCACTGCACAATGGAGTATCTGTGTTGTGCTCATCAAGGGGACCAAACCCCAATTATTAGCTTTATAACATCTTAAGCATACCAATGAGTTACCATTATAAACTATATATATATAAGGTTTTCATGATATATAATACCGAAATAGTCATGAATTTCAACCTTCCATAACTAGTTTGTAGTATATTTTATATTAGTTACATTAACATATTGTTCCTAAATTTTCATGAAGATGTTCTGCAGGTAGCTATGAAATATTTTCTTAACATGATTGTCGATATGTCGTAAACATGTATTGGATTTTCAGAAAGCATTTGACAAGGTGCCACATAAAAGATTTGTAAAACAAATTGTCTCTATAGGTGTGAGGGATAAGTTAGCTAATTGGATAGAAGAATGTGTTGCGTCAGCGAGGTCACGTGACTAGTATCACGCCACCTGTTTTTAGAAATATCCTGTTCCTTCAAGAATGCCCTAGCATTTACTAGAT